GCGAGCGGTAGGGCATCCTCAGCATCATCAGATCACATCGTTACAAAGTATCTCTTTCCTTTATTTCCAGATCACATGACCTCTGAACACCAATTATCACAGCGCCCGGCCTCAGTACTCTTCTCAAGAGCCCTCAGTCCCGATGCCAGCAGTGGGTGGGCTTGTGGGAGGAGTTATGCAAATATCAAAATGCCTTGATGGGTGGGTATCAGTTTGGAGGAGTGGGCGGTCCTAGGCAGGCCTAATTTGCATAGGTAACGCCCAGATACAACAGAACTGAAGTCCAATGAATGAAATGGGCGGGGCCAGGGTCAGTCAGGCTGGGGAGGAAAGCCCTAGATGATGCTGGATGTCCTCCAGCCAGGAAATGAGGCGGGCTCTGTCTGACCTGCTGCAGAGGAAAGGAGCCGGTAAAACTGTGGAAGACTGAAGGGGAGGACGGAGGTCAGATAGAAGACTGAAGGGGAGGAGGGAGGTCAGATAGAAGACTGAAGGGAAGGACGGAGGTCAGATAGAAGACTGAAGGTCAGATAGAAGACTGATAGAAGACTGAAGGGAAGGTCGGAGGTCCGATATAAGACTGAAGAGGAGGACGGAGGTCAGATAGAAGACTGAAGGGGAGGTCGGAGGGCAGATAGAAGACTGAAGGGGAGGTCGGAGGGCAGATAGAAGACTGAAGGGGAGGTCGGAGGGCAGATAGAAGACTGAAGGGGAGGTCGGAGGGCAGATAGAAGACTGAAGGGGAGGTCGGAGGGCAGATAGAAGACTGAAGGGGAGGTCGGAGGGCAGATAGAAGACTGAAGGGGAGGTCGGAGGGCAGATAGAAGACTGAAGGGGAGGTCGGAGGGCAGATAGAAGACTGAAGGGGAGGTCGGAGGGCAGATAGAAGACTGAAGGGGAGGTCGGAGGGCAGATAGAAGACTGAAGGGGAGGTCGGAGGGCAGATAGAAGACTGAAGGGGAGGTCGGAGGGCAGATAGAAGACTGAAGGGGAGGTCGGAGGGCAGATAGAAGACTGAAGGGGAGGTCGGAGGGCAGATAGAAGACTGAAGGGGAGGTCGGAGGGCAGATAGAAGACTGAAGGGGAGGTCGGAGGGCAGATAGAAGACTGAAGGGGAGGTCGGAGGGCAGATAGAAGACTGAAGGGGAGGTCGGAGGGCAGATAGAAGACTGAAGGGAAGGAAGGAGGTCAGATAGAAGACTGAAGGGAAGGACACAGGTTAGGTAGAAGACTGAAGGGGAGGTCGGAGGTCAGATAGAAGACTGAAGGGAAGGACGGAGGTCAGATAGAAGACTGAAGGGAAGGACGGAGGTCAGATAGAAGACTGAAGGGAAGGACGGAGGTCAGATAGACTGATTTTCCACTGCTGATTGCTCTGGAACGGCACAGACAAATGTAAAGTCAATGAGATTTCTACCTCGGTGTCGCGGCGCGGTCACATGGCGCGGTCACATGACACGGGAGAGGTTTCTAGAAAGAGGAAGAATTGTTCCTTTTCCCGTCAGTGGCGACGTTTCCATATTCGTCGGATTTATTTATAACCAGACTTCTCTCTGCGCGGTTTTACGGTTCGTTTTGCCGTCGGTTGGCGCGGTCACAAGGCAAATGTCTGACGCAGATCAGCCCCGTGCTGCGGCCTCTCACCATGTGACTGGATACAAAGTTACAATGTTGCAGTCTGATCTCTGGGGGGAGGAGCAGCAGACTGATGAGCTCATCTCTCTGCACTCTCGTCCTATCAGCACGCTCCCTGTTAGCACATGAACACTGTGACATGGCTGATTGGCTCAGCGCCCCGCTTCGTCCTCTCCCAGCCTGAGCTCTGCTGCACGGGGGCTCAGATTCCGGTAACAGTGCTGAGCACAGAGCCGCACCGATTTACATTCTCCGGCTTCCTGCACAATGAAGAGTTAATGGTAATTTTTTTTGTCCGTCGGGACCCCCAAATTGTCTTTTCATGACGTTGCTGCGCGGGGCGTTCCTCGTCACTTCCTGAGGCGCGGGGGACGCTCTCGGTTTGGGGATGCAGAGAAACCAGTAAAGCGAATAAGGTTTTCTGAGACTCCCACAGGTGACAACGTGACGGGCGAGATATCCTGGCGCAGCGCCATCGTCGTCACCGGCCACACAGGGACAAGGACTGCAGGCTGTTTATCCTGAGGAAGGGGGGAGGGGGGTCAGGACTCATGTAAGCCGGTGACTCAGACTCTGGGGGCGGATAACACGATACGGCCATCTGCGTCATCGGCCTGCCGAGGAGACGTGACCGGCCCCCGGGACCACACCGCCCCCTGCTGGCCGCCGAGAGCAAACGCAGGACACCCAGGGGGACTCATTCAATGATAGCCAATCACAACTCATCTGCCAAATCACATGACACATATACCGCAGCGCTGTACAGAGAACACTGAGCCGGTCACATCAGTCTCTGTACAGAGGAGCTTACACTCTAATGTCCCCTCCCCCACAGTCACATCAGTCTCTGTACAGAGGAGCTTACACTCTAATGTCCCCTCCCCCCCAGTCACATCAGTCTCTGTACAGAGGAGCTTACACTCTAATGTCCCCTCCCCCCCAGTCACATCAGTCTCTGTACAGAGGAGCTTACACTCTAATGTCCCCTCCCCCCCAGTCACATCAGTCTCTGTACAGAGGAGCTTACACTCTAATGTCCCCTCCCCC